CATGGGAACTATAGTTTATTGTGGCACCAGAGCTTTCTGACAGAGAAGGCTCAATGTCTCAGAAAAAAATACAATTCCCATGATTCCCTAGCACTAAGCCAGGACAGTTAAAGTGGACTCAATTTGCACTATTTCTAGCAGTCTGCAAAATAAAAAGAAATAGCCATCTTTTGGGGAAGGCAGATTGGGACCTCAGCAATGGTATAATGATTAGAATGCTTATAATAATATAATAATATTTTTTTATTTTTAACCCGCCCCTCTGCTAGGCAGCCGGGGCAGCGTACAACAAAGTTAAAACAATACAAGAAGTTAAACGTCAACCATCAGCCTGATACCTTAACCCACCCACCCCTTAAAAATAGATTAAACTAGCACAGGACCAAAAAAAGAATAAAAACAAAAATTTGCAATAAAAAAGCCCTAAAAAATGCTTGACCAACACTTAAAAGATCCAGGTTCTAATTCCTATTGAACCATGAAACGGACTGGTTTACCTTGGGCAAGTCACTCTTTGAGCCTAATCTACCTCATAGGGTTTTTGTGAGGATACTATGGAGAGGAAGAGAGCCATGTGCACCACCTTGAACTCATTGGGGGAAGGTGAGATATAAATCCAAGTAGTTAATAAATATAAACAGTGCAGATTCCTACTACATTCCCAAGTGGAATTGCATCTCCCACAATATCACACACATGCTATTCAAAATGGGAGGAAAGCTCCCATTTGCTGATGAAGAGCATTAATTCAATCCTGACCTAGGAGTGGCAAAAGAGCGTTTAAAACCTCCCCTTACTTTGTGTTTCTCCCTACATGAATGTAAGCTATTTTTAAAAACCATCACACAAAACAAAACATTGAGAAGATTAATATCCCTATTAAGAATACCCCACATATTTCAGATGAATTTACACCTCCAAGGAAGAAAGATCCTCATTTAAAGAGGATGGGATTATGATTGCTCATATCAAGGTGTCCAACTGTGGCCCTCAAGAGGCTTTTATATTGCCATTGCATCATAATCCCTCTCCACAGGCTACTCTGTAAGCAAAAAATAA